GTTTGTTTATATGGTGGATCACGTTGATAGATTTTCGTATGTTAAACCATCCCTGCAATCCAGGTATGAAGCCTACTTGTTCATGGTGGATGATTTCTCTGATGTATTCTTGAATTCAGTTTGCCAGTATTTTATTGAGTATTTTTGCATTCATATTCATCAGGGATATTGGTCTGAAGTTTTGTTTTTTAGTTGTATCTTTGTGAGGTTTGGGTACCAAAGTTATTGTGGCCTCATTTAAAGATTTTGGCAATGAACCATCTGTTTCTATTTTGTGGAACAGTTTGAGGGGTAGTGGTATTAGTTTTTCCTCGAATGTCTGGTATAATTCTGCACTGAATCCTTCTGGCCCTGGAATTTTTTTGGTTGGAAAGCTTTCGATGACTGCTTCTTTTTCATTGCGGGTTATAGGTCTATTTAAGTTGTTTGTCTGTTCTTGATTTAATTTTGTTAAGTGATAGGTATCCAGAAAGTTGATCATTTCCTTTGAATTTTCAATTTTTGTGGAATACAGATTTTCAAAGTATGACCTGAAAATTGTCTGGATTTCCTCTGTGTCTGTTGTTATGTTCCCCTTTTTGTTTCTGATTTTGTAATTTGCATGTTCTCTGCCTTTTTGTTAAGTTGGACAAAGGTTTGTCTGTCTTGGTGATTTTTTCAAAAAACCTACTCCTCCTTGCATTGAATTTTTGTATTGTTTTCCTGGTTTCTATTTTGTTGATTTCAGCTCTCAAACTGATTATTTCCTGGTATCTACTCCTATGGGGTGAGTTTGCTTCTCTCTGTTCTAAGGCTTTCAGTTGTGCTGTTAATTCTCTTATGTGACTATCCTCTGTTTTCTTCATATGGGCACTTAGTGCAATGAACTTCCCTCATAGCACTGCTTTCAAGGTGTCCCATAAGTTCAGGCATGTTGTGTCCTCATTCTCATTGAATATTAGAAAGTCCTTAATTTCTTTCTTTATTTCTTCTTTGACCCATGTGTGGTACAATTGTACATTTTTCAGTTTCCATGAGTTTGCAGGTTTTCTGCTATTTGTGTTGTTGTTGAGTTCCAATTTTAAAGCATGGTGGTCTGATAAGATACAGGGGAATATTCTTATTCTCTTGTACCTGTTGAGGTTTGTTATGTCACCTAGTATGTGGTCGATTTTAGAGAGGGTGCCATGTGGAGCAGAGAAGAATGTATATTCTTTTGTGTTTGGATGGAATGTTCTATAGATGTCTGTTAATCCCAGTTGAGACATAACTTCTGTTAGTTCTTTTGTTTCTTTGTTGAGTTTCTGATTTGTGGTCCTGTCTAGTGTTGAGAGTAGTGTATTGAAGTCTCCCACTATAAGTGTGTGAGGTTTTATATGAGCTTTGAGTTTTAGTAGTGTTTCTTCTATGAATATGGGCACCTTTGTATTTGGGGCGTGGATGTTCAGAACTGAGACTTTGTGTTGATGGATTTCTCCTGTGATGAATATGAAATGACTCTCTTTATCTCTTTTGATTAACTGTGGTTTGAATTCTAACTTGTTAGATATTATGATAGCCATGCCTGCTTGCTTCTTGATTCTATTTGATTGGAAAATCTTTTTCCAACCCTTTACCCTGATGTAATGTCTATCTTTGAAGCTTAGATGTGTTTCTTGTATGCAGGAGAAAGATGGATTCTGTCTTTGTATCCATTCTGTTAGCCTCTGTCTTTTTATAGGTGAGTTAAGACCATTAATGTTGAGGGTGGGTAGGGACCATTGATTGTTGATGCCTGTTTGTTTTAGGTTTGTTGTTGGCAGTGGTATTGTGAATATGTTTGTTCTGCTTTACCCTTGGTTTCTGGTGTAGTTGGATTATCTTTTGCCTACATTTTTGTGGGCATAGTTACCTTCCTTGGGTTGGAGTTTTCCTTCCAATATTTCCTGTATGGGTGTATGTGTAGATAAGTATTGGGAAAATCTGGTTTTGTCATTAAATATCTTGTTTTCTCCATCTATAGTGATTGAGAGTTTTTCTGGATATAGTACTAGGCTGGCATCCTTGGTCTCTCTTGTAGAACATCTATCCAGGACCTTCTGCCCTTGAGGGTTTCCATGGAGAAGTCAGGTGTAATTTTCATAGGTCTGCCTTTATATGTTACCTGTCCTTTTTCCTTCGCTGCTCTTAATATTCTTTCTTTATTCTGTATGCTAGGTGTTTTGATTATTATATGTCAGGGGGTGTTTTTTCTTTGGTCCAGCCTATTTGGCATTCGGTATGCTTCTTGTACTTTCATGGGCATGTCCTTCTTCCGATTTGGAAAGTTTTTCTTTATGATTTTGTTGAATATGTTTTTGGTATCTTTGAGCTGGGCTTCCTCACCTTCCTCTATGCTGATTATCCTTAGGTTTGGCCTTTCCCTGGTGTCCCACATTTCCTGGATGTTTTGTGTTAAGGATTTGTTGGATTTATGATTTTCTTTGGTCGATGGATCTATTTCTTCTAGTTTATCTTCTGCACCTGAGATTTTCTCTTCCATCTCTTGAATTCTGTTGGCTATGCTTGTGTCTGTAGTTCTTGATCTTTTTCCCAGTTTTTCTATTACATCATTCCTTTGCTTTGTGTTGCCTTTATTTTCTCTATTTTGAACCGTTTCCTTCACCTCCTTAATTTGTTTCTTGTTTTTTTTTTTTTTTTTTTTTTTTTTGTACTTTCTTTACTTTCCTTAAAGAATTTGTTCATTTCTTCCACTTCGGTTTTTTCCCCTCTATTTCTTTAAGTGATTTTCTCACATCTTCTTTGAGGGCCTCTATCATTTTTATGAAGGTAATTTTTAAGTCGTTCCGTTCTTCCTCTGCTTTGTGGTTGTGTTCCATTCTAGTTGGTGTAGATTCCCTAGATTCTTGTGGTGTCATGCTTGTCTTTCTGTTGTTAGGTGTTTTCTTGTATTGCTGTCTTCCCATAGCTTCTTCCAGTAGGTGTTGGTGGGGTCTCTCCCTCTCTTTATGGTACTTCCCCGGTGGGCTTATGTGGGTCAGTGATTCAATATCTGTAACTCTGGGTGGTCGAAGCTCTGTAGGAGGTCTCTCCTCAGACAGGGACCCAGGGATGGGGTCAGGGCTGTGGATCCAGTAGAAGATGATTCTAGCCAATGGCTCTAGCCAATGGGTGGCAGAAGAGGACAAAGGCTGAGCTGTTACTTCAGAAGGTTTTGCAGGATATTTGGATCTCACTGGAAACTGGAACTCTCAAGCTGAGGCCTCTTTATTTAGCAGAGGCCCTGCTTTGGGGGTCAGAGATCTTGCAGGCGGGAACTCAGAGTGTGATAATTTCTTGTTTTTAATGAGAGATTGAATGGCAGTGGGAAATCTTATTCTTGAAATCCTTTAGTTCAAATATGAAAAAATAGCATATTCAAGAAAATCAGATGGCTTAGGAGTAAGTTGTCTTAGTTATTGATGTCAAGGTCTTTCTAAAAAAAATCCTTGGTTATGTTAGGAAAAACGAGAAGATGCCCATTGATGTGACATGTGCAGCATAGATGTTAGAGATGTAAAGTTAAATAAGTTGTATTTAGTCTTTGAAGACTTCAAAGTCTATCCACAGAAGTCTTACATTTAAGAATTTAGAGAATAATATTCTTCCGCTATTAAAGTCAGTAACAACTGGTATACTTGTGAAACACACCTGTGAAACATAGCTTCGCAGTGTTTAGAAAATTATAAATGAAAAGCAAGTATAAAATCAGTATTGTTTCCTTAAATAAATCCTATAAAATGATAGAAAAGCTATCTACATAAGAACAAATTTTAATTTCGTTCTGATTTTGTGAAGGGAAGACTGAGGCCAAGTGACAATATTGTCCACTGTTCTTAATATAATGCTGATTTCCATTTGAAATGGAGAAAATAGTGGTTTGCTGCTTGCTGAAGTAGGACAACTCTGTGAGAAGCTTTATTGTGCATTCTGTGGCACCTCTTTTCAGGTAATGAGGTGTGAGAGTGACTGATAAGCACACAGGATGTGGAAGAGAACAAAATAAAAAAAAACATGCAGTTTCACCTAAGTAACGTTGGCATATAACAAATTAAGCAAAACTTCACTAAAAATGTCTGAAATAGAGACTTGAAAATTTTTGAAGTCACCACCCCGTAAAAACCCCAAAAGCCTAGAATTACAAGTGAATTTAATTTTCTGATCATTCTGCTATAATTAATGAACAACTTTTAGCATGCATCATGACATATAAATGCTTAATTTGTATATTTTAATATGTAACTCTTTGCTTTTGTAGGTGGACTTAAGAAATCAAATGCATTTTCCTATTGAACTCCTTTAGGGGGAATTTTGTGAGGACAGAAGGAAATTAGGTTAATGTGATAATACTATTTTTAAATAACTCTGACCTACATTGTTTTGCTTGACACACACAAAATATTTTTACAACTATTGTATAGATTGAAAAACTTAAATTTGGTTTGGGAAGATAATGGAACACTTGGCTAACATGAACTTAACTTTGACTCCCCACATGGTATATAGTATGTGTGGTTGGTATCATATACCCAGCATTTGAGAAATGAAGATGGAAAGAGTAAAGTAATCAACTACTTAGCAAGTTGGAGGCTAGCCTGAGTTATGTGAAACTCCTTTATTCTTGTCTTAGTCAATGTTCTATTGTTGTGAAGAGACACCATGAGCATGGCAACTCTTATAAAGGCAAACGTTTAATTGAAGCTGGCTTACACTTAGAGGTTCATCCCATTATCATCTTGGTGGAAGCATGCAGAACACAGGTAGGCATGGCACCATATAGGGATCTGAAAGTTCTATACCCAGAGTCTCAGGCAACAGGAAGAGAGAGACTCTGGACTTGGAATGGCGTTTTGGAAACTTCAAACCCCCTCACCCCCAGTGAGACTCTTTATTTACAAAGGACACTGCCAGTCCTTGGTGATTAGGTATTCAAATCTGTGAGCCTATGGGGCCATTTTCATTGAAAAAAATACAGTTCATTTTCTTTTTTTATTTTAACCCCAGAGGAGAGAGCAAATGCAGTACACCACTACTACAAATTATGAAGCCAAATTTCCTGAATTTGGGGAAATTGCATGGATCAGCATATCCAGAGTGTAGTGGATTAAGTCTTGCTCCGGCAAAACCACCTTGGTGATCATGGTATCTCCTCTGCCAGGCAAGTATTCATTTCTTTTAAAGTTTAATTATCTCTATTACTTTTACATTTCAAATTTCATAAAATGTATTTTGATCATATTCACTCCCTCCCACAACTCCTCTCAGATCTACCTCCTTTTTCCTACTCACCCAGTTTTATGTCTATTTTTTTTTAAGTCTTAAACCTAAAATAAAAAGAAGCCATCAAGTCCAATTTGTGCTGCCCTTCTATTTGTGTATATGTGATCTTCCATATATTTGTGTGGCCCATATGTTTGTGTATATGTGGTCTTCCACATTGTTGACTTAACAGAGGCTATCTCCTTAGAGAAGACTGACTTTCCCTCTCCCAGCAACTATCAATTCCAGTAGTACTCAGGTAGGAATGGGTCTTTATGCCCAATTGTCTCCATGTTGGAATTTTATCTCCTAGGGCCATTGTGAATTAATATGTGAACTAGCCTCCTTGTCTAGAAAACACTATTTCTTTGTAGTCATCCACTTCCTTTGGCTCTCACAATATTCCTGCTTCCTCTTCTGCAATGATTACTGAGCACTGGGGGTGTGTATCTGTAATATTAATTTTCCATTTAAGGTTGGCATTTTATGATCCTTAGTCTGTGCACTGTGACCAATTTGGGTTCTCAATATTAATCACATGTCCTGAAAAGTAAGCTTCTATTAGCTTCTATGATGAATGCTGAGAGATATATTAATCTATGGGCATAAAATAATTCACTAAGAGTCAAGTTAATAATAAGTCCTTTTAAGAGAATAACAGTAGCAGGTTCTCCTCTGTGGATCATATTCTGCTTAGCCACAGGTGCTTGATCCTCATAACAGTGTTAGGTATGAGTTTCATCTTTTGTAGCTTGCCTTAAGTCCAATGGGAAAGTGGTTGGCTACAAATATCAGAAAGTTGTTTCACCATTTCATTTATATTGGCAGGCTGGTTGTTATTGTAGCTTGCAGGGTTCTGCTGGGCCAGACTGAAAACTACTTTTTCTCTCTAGTAGCATGCATATCACCTTCCAACATGATGAAAGCTAGTCAAAAGGCATGAACTTTCCACGTCAGTACCACCTTGATTTCTCTATGTTTTATGAATCAAGTATATGTTGCCTTGAGCAGCAGAGCCTTGCCATCAATTTCTGGAGGGTGACCAATAGCATTGGTAACAATCTATAATGTTTGGAACATCTATAGGACTCACTAGCCAAGAATTCCAAAAGAGATATCCCATTTTTCTGGCACTGAAGTTTTTATTCATTAGCCTATGGTGCTTAATAGGGGCATTGTTACCCTGCTTTAGTGTAGCTAACTTTAAACTCTTTTTACACACACACACACACACACACACACACACGTATAGATTTTCATATAAATTTAAAAAGGTCTTTGGTATTATTTCATGTTTTTTATTCCACATCCCAATTTAACTTGTTCTGTTTTCCCATTGCCTTTTAACCCATTACACGCGTATATATTGCTTTTTCCTACCTTGAAGTCACCCTCCTGTGGCCTCTTACTCTAAATGGATATTTTCCTGTCCCTACTGCCCAGTCTCAAATAACCACTCAGAGGCTGAAAATGAATTATAAATATTTGAATGATACATCGGGCTTATTACTAGCTAACTCTTACACTTATATCAACTTGTATTTCTAGTAATGCTTTGGCAAGTGGTTCATGGCTTGTTACATCATTTTTTAAAAAATACTTCCTGCTTACTTAGCAGCTGGCCAGCATCTCTTTCAACTCTGCTGACTCTGTCCTTCCTCTTCCCATCATTCTTTCTGTGTCAGGCTGTCTTACCCAATCTCTTCTTGCCATGCTAAGGACCAATCAGCCTGCATTTTATTAACAATGAATAGAATCCACAGCATGTTACCAATTTTCTGAACTCTGTGAGGTTCTGAAGATTCAAAGATAACATTTGTAAGTAAGAGAAACATGGAATTTTGTTTTGTTTTACATTTTTTTGTATATTATTGTAATTCAATTAATACTATCCATTATTTTCCATTTGTTATTCTAATTCCACTCCTACTGTCTGAGTTAGTTTATTGTTGCTGTGATACATTATGACCAAAAACATTTTGATGAAAAAATGGTTTATTTTCACTTATAGTTTATAGTCCATCATGGGGGGAAGATAGGGCAGGTGCTTACGACAGGAATCTGGGGCAAGGAAATGAAGCAGAGACCATGGAGGAATACTGCTTGTTGGCTTGCTCCCTATGAATTAGTCAGCCTACTCCCTTTTTCTTTCTCTCTCTCCTTCCTTCCTTTCTTCCTTTTTTTTTCAAGACTGTGTTTCTCTGTGTAACTCTTGCTGTCCTGGAACTGCTCTGTAGTCCAGGCTAGCCCCAAACACAGAGATCCTGCTGCCTTGGCCTCCCTGAGTGCTGGAATTAAAGGCATGGGCTATCATCCCTGAGCTGATCAGCCTTTTTCTTTTACCACACATGACCACTTGCCAGGGTTAGCACCAATATTAGTGGGCTGGATCTTCTTACATTAATAATTGATAAAAAGGTGCTATGTAACCTCCTACGCCCTCTGCTTCAGGTGAGTGTTTGGCCAGCACAGGTCCAACACCTCCCTCTTCCTTCTTGGAACTTCCTGGGTCACCCCTGCATGTAGTGGACCAGCTCTGCCACTCCTGACCATCCAAAACATGCCCACATCTCAATCTTGGCCCTCCTATGCCTTCTGCTTGACGTGAGTCTGGATCCAACCGCCCTCCTAGTCTTTCCTTGGAGCTTCCTGGGTCAGCTCTGCATGTAGCAGACTGACCCTGGCAATGGACTATCATAAGCCTGTCCCCATCTCAGTTTTTACCCCCCTACATCATCTGCTTCAGTCTTAGATCTTCTGAACCCTCTGCATGAGAACTCTAAGAGAGCTCAGCCCATCCTGAGTTACTGACATCGAAGTCCTGATTCAACTATACACATTGGAAGAGGAGAGTAGAGAGAGAGTCCCCATCTACACCCACTGGAAGAAGGGATGGGAAGATGGCAGTACAATAACACATTCAACAATAGAAACACCAATATGACACCACCAGAATCTAGGGACTCAACACCAACTAGACCTGAACACACCAAAACAGAAGAAGCAGGAGAGAATGACTTAAGTGGCAGGATACACAATTAACTCAAAAAATTCCATAGCCCTACTGTATACAGATGATAAGGGGGCTGAGAACGAAATCAGAGAAACATCACCCTTTACAATAGGCACAAACAACATAAAATATATTAGGGTAATATTAACCAAATAAGTGAGAGACCTATATAGCAATAACTTTGTGTCTTTAAAGAAAGAAATTAAAGAAGATAACAGAAAATGAAAAGATCTCCCATGCTCCTGGATAGGTAGGATCTACATAGTAAAAACGGCAATCTTGGCAAAAGCAATCTATAGATTTAATGCAATGCCCATTAAAATCACAGCACAATTCTTCACTGACCTTGAAAGGATAATACTCAACTTTATATGTAAAAACAAATGAGCCAGGATAGCCAAAAGGAACTAAAGAAGGCATCACTATTCCTGACTAAAAGCTGTATTATTGAGCTATAGTTCTGAAAACAGCTTGTTATTGGCACAAAATAGACAGGTAGACCAATGGAATCAAATTGAAAATCCTGATATTAATCCACACACCTATGAATACTGATTTTTGACAAAACAACTAAAAGTACAATGGAAGGAGGAAAGCATTTCCAACAAATGATGATGATGGCACAATTGGATGATGGTGTGTAGAAGACTGCATATAGATCCATGTGTATCGCCACGCACAAAACTTAATTCCAAATGGATCAAAGACCTCAACATAAATCCAGCCACACTTAACCTCTTAGAAGAGAAAGTGGGAAGTACCCTTGAATGAATTGGTACAGGAGACTGCTTCCTGAATATAACACCAGTAACACACACTGAGATTGACAATTAATAAATAAATAATTGGTACCTTCTGAAACTGAGACACTTCTGTAAGGCAAAGGACACAGTCAATAAAACAAAATGGCAGCTCACTGAAAAGAAAAAGATTTTTACAAACCCGACATCTGACAGAGAGCTGATCTCCACATATGCAAAGAGCTCATGAAGGTAGTCACCAAAACACCAAATAATCAATTAAAAAGTGGGGTACAGAACCGAATAGAGAATTCTCTATAGAGGAATCCAAAATGGCTGAAAGACACTTAAGAAAGTGCTCAACATCCTTAGCCATCAGAGAAATGCAAATCAAAACAACTTTGAGAAACCATCATACTCCTGTCAGAATGGCTAAAATCAAAAACATCAATGACAGTTTATGCTGGAGTGTATGTGGAGGAAGTGGAACACTCCTCCACTGTTGGTCGGAGTGCAAACTTGTATAGCCATTTTGGAAATCAGTATGGCAGTTCCTCAGGAAAATGGGAATTAGCCTACCACAAGATCCAGCATTTCCACTCTTAGGCATATACCCAAAAGATACACATTTATGCATCAAAGACATCTGTTCAACTATGTTCATAACAGCATTATTTGTAATATTCAAAACCTGGAAGCAACCTTAAATCCCCCTCAACTGAAGAATGGATGGAGTAAATGAAGTACATTTACACAATGGAATACTAGTCAGCAGAAAAAAAAAATCAAAAAAACAAAACAACAGAATCTTGAAATTCACAGGCAAATGGATGGAACTAGAAGAAACAATCCTGCATCCTGAGTGATGTAACCCAGTCACAAAAAGACAAACATGGAATTTACTCACTCATATATATATTTTAGACATAGAGCTAAGTATCATCAACCTACATTGCACAGTGCCAGTGAAGTTAGAAAAGAAGGATGACCCTATGAGAAACATACATGGTCCCCCACTGACAGGGGAAAGGGGCAAGATCTCTTGACCAAATAGGGGTAGCAGGAGGGGAGAAGGAGTTAGGAGAAAGAGAAGGGGAGAAGAGGAGTGTAGGGGAGAACAAGAGGGAGCAGGAAGATTGATTTGGGGGAAGAAT